CTTCCAGGAAGCAAAGTGGCCTATTTGGGGTAGATGGCCCTGGTGGTGGCCCTGATGGAGCCCTGCCTCTGCTCTGTTCACAGGAGCCCCATGTGTCGCTGCACTGGCTCCCTCACTGCCTCCGTGTGGGCACCAGGCTCCTGGCTCTGGGTGACCATCTGCTGGCTGCCCGGGAACTTCATTGGGCCGTGGGGCAGCCGCTGACACCTCGCTGTCCGGCACAGCGAGAAGGGGTTCCTGTCCCCACCGCCCGGCCCAGGTGCCCCAGAGCCCAAAGGTTCCCTGGGGGGCGGGGCAGGACAGGGGCAGGAAGGGGACGGAGCGAAGGCCGAGGCCTTCTTGCTGCAGGAAGCTGGCCTGCGGTGGAGGCCCGGGGCCGGGAAGTCCCTGCTGTCAGCGACTTACACTTTAATTCAGGGGAAGCACAGCATGCCCACTTGGCAGACAAGTTTCCGTGCACAGAGGAGGGAGCCAAGCCGGCTGTCCAGGCCCACCTCCTTCACCCCAACCCCGCCAGCCACAACCCTGTGGGCACTTACCGGCTCTTTCCTGTGGCTTACCTCGCTTTTCTTGAGGACACAATTGGCTTTGTTAAGCGGTTCATGAATGGGGCAATGTTTCATTTAGCAAGTAGAGATGCTCCCTTCTTGCCTCATTTTTAGCATTTGTGGCCTTGTTATCAGGGGGCCCTTACGTTTTTTGAAGTCTGTCTTCTTTGTTTTTTTTATTTTTTGAATTTTTTTTTTTTTTTTTTTTTTTTGAGAGAGAGGGAGCACTAGAGAACATAAAGGGCAGAGACAGAGAGAGAGGATCCCAAGCAGGCTCTGCCCTGCCAGCGGGCGAGGAGCCTGATGTGGAGCTGGAATTCGTGAACCGTGAGATCATGACCTGAGCCAATTGAGACTTGGATGCTCAACCGACTGAGCCCCCCAGGCAGGTGCCCCAAGTCTTTGTTTTTAATTGAGGTGTAACTTAACATGTGGTGAAATTCACCCTTTAACAGGTACAGTTTAGCGGCTTCTAATATATTCACAAAACGTTGCGCAACCGTCACCATGGTCTGATTCCAGAATTTTCTCATTCCGTAAAAAGCCCATTTGCGGTCCCTCTCCGTCTCCACCCCCAAGCCCCTGGCAGCCGCTCCTGTCTGTCCTGGCCATCCGCATAGATGCAATCTGCTGTCCGCATCCTTTGTGGCTGGTTTCTTCCTCTGGCGTTTATGCTGCGAAGGGCACTGCCGTGAGTGTTCGTGGGCTGGTCTGCGTGTGGACACGTGCTTTATGTCTCGTGGGTGTATGCCTAGGAGCGGAGTCGCCGGTCACAAGGTAAGTCTGTTTACCATGTGAGGAGCCGCCAGACTGTTGTCCACGGCGGCCGCCCCGTCCTGCACGCCCGCCAGCCGAGCATGAGGGTTTTTGTGGGTTCGCGGTTACCCTGTGTGACCCGAGGGCCATCCGGCTGTGTCCACTTTGCCCCCTCAACACCCAGCGAGTTTCCCATTGCCGTACGCGACGGCTGTCCCAGAAAGGAATCGATTTTTAGTCTTTCCCCTGTTACAGAAGTAATTACCCGTTAACGTAAAAAGAAAAAATAGAGAAAATGAAGATAAACAAAAAGGAAAAAGTTAAATCACTTGTCTGCTATCATCAGGGGGCATCAGGACCATTGTCTGTGAGGCTGTGACATCTGTGGGATTTACTTTTTCTTAAAAAAAGTTTGTTTTTAATGTTTATGTTTGAGAGAGAGAGACAGAGAGCGCAAGCAGGGAAAGGGCAGAGAGAGGGAGACACAGAATCCGAAGCAGGCTCTAGGCTCTGAGGTGTCCGTGCAGAGTCCGACGCGGGGCTCAAACCCACACCCCGTGAGATTGTGACCTGAGCTGAAGTTGGACGTTTCACTGACTGCCCAGGCAGCCCTCTTTGGGATTTTCTTAAGCTCTCCCACCGGTGCTGATGGCTTCTTTCCAGTTTTTCCCTGCTCTAAATCTGGCTGTGATGAACTCTTGTTCCCCTGCAAGCAGCGTTTTCCCAGGTTCGGGTTTTCCCCCTCTAGTTAGTTTCTGGAGGAAGCAGTTATCTGGTCAGGATCAGAGCGTTTGCGGCTCCACAGCCGAGTGGCCGGACTATGCCAGCCTGGTTTCATCCGAACCGTGTGTGGCACCCGCTCTTGGCTGGGGCTCACTGGGCTCTGGGGTGCAGTCCGTCCTCCCTGTTGGGTGTGAGCGGGTGGGTGGGCAAGGGGGACACAGTTGCAGGGCATTTGTTCCTGCAGCCTCTGTTCTGTTCATGCCCATTCAGGCGTGTGCCACACGCCTATCCTCAGCCCCCATCGGCACCTGGCGCTGTTGTGGGTGCCGGGCACCTCGTGGGTCCCAGGGTGGGGCAGATTGGGGGCTGGGAGGCCTCTGGGGAGGTGATGGCTCGGGCAGACAGGGTGGAACATTGCTCGGGGGGCCTCCCTCCCTCAGCTCCACACCCTCCTGGACCTTGGGAGACCCTGTGGCACTGCACGTGGCACTGTGCGTGCCGAGTGAGTCCTGGCTGCCCACCATCGGTGCTCCTTCCGTTGCTGCAAGGGACCTCCAGGACCTGGCGCCCCTACATCAGTGAGCCCCAGTGTTGTGACGGTGCCCAGCTCAAAGGGATCACCACGATTCACAGAGCTCAGTCTTCCGTTTGGCCTTCTGGGCTCTGCAAGAGAATCCTCCCGGCCCTGCATCTCTAGCCTCGGGGCCTTTGTACCTGCTGTTCCTGACACCAGCATCCCTCCCAGTCCACGCTTCTCTTGCGGCCCCTCCACCTGCGAGATCCTCTTCTGATGCCTTGGAGCAGCTGCCTGTCTCTCCCTCCCCTCCCCTCTGCTCCGTGAACTTCACTGTCTCACTCACCTGTTTGTTCATCACTGGCAGGGACCTCCCGTGAGGCTGTGCTATGGCCTGTTCACCACCCCGTGCCCATGGGGTGGGGGTGGCAGGGACAGGTAGGCAGGAAGGGACTGTGCCACCGAGCACATGCCGGCCCCTGCAGAATTGCTGGCTCTCCCGCCTTGTCTTCTGGTTAGTCCCATACGTGCCCTGTGTGGAGGGGGAGCCTGTGATCGGTCAGGCAGGTGCCTCTGGGTCACAGTGGGCGCTCTGACCACGTGTGGGGGTGAGAGCCTGCACAGGGCACCGTTTCCTGACCTGGCCCCACTTCATGGTAGCTCCCTGTCGTGGTTGGTGGCACGGTGGCCATGAGAAGGCCTGGGCTGGGGGCTCCGGCCAGGGGCTCCTCACTGCCTCCCCCCAGCGCCTCCGAGTCAGCTGCTTTCCATCCCTTCGTCAGTGTCCTTCGCCCCCCGCCTTGGTCTTTGGTTACGTCCTGTGCTCTTACAGGTCCTTGTGACGACTGGTTGGGTGTCAGGAAAGCAGAGCGGTTGGGGCCGGGGGCTCTGTGGCCACACTGTTGGCATCTTGTCCCTGCTCCCTGGTGATCTCACCTGTGCTGCGATGGGATGGTGGTGGTTCTGAGCGTGTCCGTGCAGGGTGATGTGGAGCCGGGGCTGGGGGGCGGGAAGCTCTGGGAGGCATGGGGGACAGGAGCATCTGTCTTCCTGCCACTTCGCAGGCCCTGCGGGGCGGGGCTGGCTGGGCCAGGCTGTCCTGTTCGCTCGGACCTGGCCTGCGTGTTTGCGGTTCTCTGCGTGCCATGTGCCTTCGGATCGCTGCCGCTCCTGCCTCGGTTTCCTCATCTGATGGTGGGGCAGCGGTGCTGCCTGCTCAGAGTTAATGGTGTCCGTACCACGTAGAACAGGGCCCAGACCCAGGAGACGTGTCTGCGTGTGTCTGTTAGCGGGACGGCCGGTTGCCTGGCTTCCTCTCAGATGTCAGTAGAGGCCACTGTGGGGCGGAACGGGTTTGGAATGGTTGGTTCCTTTGGTGCCTGGGTGGTGGTGAGCCCCTTGTCGGTGGGGGATTCGAGAGAAATGGGTCAGGCAGGTTGCGAGGAGGTGTGTGGTGCTGGGGGGCCGATGGCTGCTGTTCCCAGATGCTGGGCAGCAGGTGCTGCCCTGTGAGGTCCCGTGGCAGGCAGAGGACCCTGTGGCAGTTTTCTCAGAGCTGCGTGTGCTCACCTTAAGGCAGCAGCTCCCTTGGTTTGGGGCCCGAGGGCCTGACGGTGCAGAGGAGCCCCTTGAGGTCCAGTCGATTGCTCCTGGCCTGCTACAGCCTCCTGTCAGAGGTCCTGCCCGCTGCAGGCTTCCTGCCAGGGAGTGAGGCCACACCAGGGAGTGGGTCCCAAGGGGCCGAACGCCTGGGGCTGGGTGCCGCCTAGGTCTCCCACCCTGCCCGAGTCTAAGACACAGGGTAGACGCCTGCCCAGCTCTGCTCAGTGAATCATGGAGGCCGGAGGGGGCAGGAAGAGGTGCGGGGCTGTCTGCCCCAGGAGCCAGGCCTTGGCCCTTGGAGCCAGTAAAGAGGTAAGGGGTTGGGAGGGCGTCGGGGGCTGTCTGGCTGCCCCTCTGAGTGCAGGTATCCTGGGGACTCAGCTACCTCCCCCAGGACCCTGATGTGGACTCTGTCTTAGTTCATGAACGTTTGAGACCACAGAACGTGACCCCGTGGGTGACCTGGGTGCCTGCGTCGGTCTGCTTCCCCGTGATGTTGGGCATGGGCCCGGCATGCCAGCCCTTCAACCCTGTGACTGGCGGGGCATCGTGGATGGAGGGCTTCCTCGCTCCTGGGTCCCCGGCAGGTCCACGGTGGCGATCACGTGTGGGGCGGCCGTGGAGGCCCAGGCGGGAGGCGGTGTCTCGCCCTGGCGGTTCTGGGACATGAGCCTGGCTGGCAGCCGCTCCTCCCCAGATTGGGTGTGGCCTTGGGCTGGTCCCCCGTACAGGGTCTCTCAGGTACCTGATGCCACACGCCTTCTGTCTGCCGGGGCCGTGCTTGAGCGCGGATTGGAGCCAATGCGGCGCCTGGCATCCTGTAAACTCTGTCCTTCCGTCTCATCCTCTCCTAACAGGGACCCAGACATGGAGCTTCGGGAAGAGGCCTGGTCTCCGGGGCCGCTGGATTCCGAGGACCAGCAGATGGCCAGTCATGAGAACCCAGGTGAGGTGGCCTTGGGCGGTTCTTGGCCGATCCTGCCCCCTTCCTGGACCCCGGCTCCCTGCACGTCTCCTCCTGTGGCTCTGGGAGCCCTTGGGGGCTGCTGCTGTCCGTCCCTCCTCCTGCCCTCATGGCCCGGCCCCCTCACCCCCCAGCGGCCTGGCCACGCTGCCCTGTTTCTAGGTCGCCTGTGCTTCTCCCAAGCAAGAGACTGTAGACCAGGGGGCGGGTGTGACAGGGTTGGGGTGGGACTGTGACCTGAGCTGACAAGACTACAGGGGCGGCTGTCTGCTGGGTTTTTGGGGAAAGCTGGGTATCTGGGTTTTTATGGGAAATGTTTCACTTTTTAAATACTGGTACCTTGTTTTGTTTAATAAAGCATTATTTGGGTTGAATAAAACTCCTTTTTGAGCTCGTGGGGCCTGGGGTTTGCTTGCCGAGGGCTTTCCCGTAGGGCAGCCGGGAAATAAAGCACGGACGTTGTTTTCGTGCTGCTGATGAAGTGTTTTCGGCCGGGGCCGGCACCGAGTTGGCAAATGGCTTTTACCGTAAAGGGCCAGAGGGGAGATACTTCTGGTTTTCTGACCCTGTGCCCTGCCCTTGCAGCAGGAAAGCAGCCGGACCATCTGGAAGTGAATGAATGTGACCATGTGCCAATAAAACTTTATTTACAAAACAGGCACTGAGTTCACCACCTTGTGCCAGTGTACCATAGTTGCCAAGAGAAGGGTTATGAGGGCCTGGACCTCACGTGGGGGTAGATGTTCTTATAAAGCCCCGGGCTCCTCCCGCTTCTTGATTCTGAGATTGTCTGGAGGAGAATGAAGAGCAGCTCCCTGCTGGGAGGTCCCCAGCAGCCTTGGGTACAGAGCAGGAAACCAAGTCACGGGGGCTCCGTGCTTACTCTGACCCAGCTGCCCCCACAGGGAGGACCCATGCCTGTCCTTCCCTGGTGCGCCCCCGGGCCTGCTCCCCCTCCTTCTCCTGACCTATGTTCTTGCCCTTCTAGCCCCCCCTCCCCCCCCTTTTTTTTTTTTTAAAGTTTATTTATTTTGAGAGAGAGAGTAAGAGGGCACAAGCAGGGGAGGGGCAGAGAGGGAGGGAGGGAATCCCAAGACGGAGACGGAGCCACCAGGTGCTCCAACCTTCTAGCCCTCTTAAAATTAACTCAAAAGCCTGTTTTGTTGTGGAAATTTGAAACATAAGTGGTGTAATGACTGTTTATTTCTTCTGAACTCTGGCGATCAGAGACCCTTCACCACTCTTAATGTCCCCACTTGTGCCCTCTTCTCCCCCTGGAGCAGTTACAGAAAATTCTAGATGTGGTATCATTACACCTGCAAGTTCCCAGAGGTGCAGGCTTTATAAGAGCACGACCAAAACAACAAGGACACAGTGCCGACCCCACCTGATGAAACACCCAGTCCCTGTCCAAACACCCCGTTTTCTCCAGAGTGTACGTCTGCCTTTGAGTAAGTTAGTTTTAGTTTTAGGAGTCCTCCGTTAACTTATTCTCCTTATAAAACCTTGAAAGTGTACAGGTGGGTTGTCTCATCCCCCTTGTCCAGCCGGCTGTCCTGAGCCTGTGCTCCCCATCCCCCACTGCGGTGTCACCACATTGTGACCCTCCCTTCGCTCAGCTCAGCTAGTGAGCCCCATGCCCGGATGCTTCCGAGCTGCTGGGCACTGCTGGGCGTCCCATTGTTGTGGACACCGAGCTGCTGGGCATCCCATCGTTGTGGGCCCTCCAGGTTCCTGCCTCCCTGTGCACAGAGCCTCCCGTGGTACCGTTACTGTGCCGGACTCCTGCCCTGATGTCCCGAGGCCCCGGCTGGCTGCCGCTGTGGTGGCTCTGGCGGTGTGATTCCCTGGGCCTGCCCGAGAGGGATGTTGGGCCTTCAGGGTGGGGAGGACACGTGTGCACAGGCAGGCTGGGCTCCGCGGAGAGTCGAGAGGAACGGGGCCTGGTGAGCGGTGAGTGAGAGGGGCTGGTGTCTGCCAACCCCCGAGAGCGAGCTGGAGCCGGGAGAAGGCAGGTGGGGTGGGCCTGTTGTCCCGTCCCAGGGCCGGAAGATGAAGACTGGGAAGTGCTGTCACGGCCCTGAGTCGCAGCCATGTGGCCACAGGCATCCCTGGCCGTGGAGGCTGGGACTGCACCCTGGAGTCTCCCCGCTCCCCCCAGCTGACTGAGCTCCACGCAGCCCTGTGTCCTCCCTTGTCCCCAGCTGCCAGCGGCAGCTCCTTGAGGTAACCTGCAGTGACCCCCACGCCCTGCTCCGCTCACCTGCCGGGGTCACCCGGGACACCATCTGTAGCTCGGGGGTGAGCTCTGCCCTCTGAGCCCGGGGCTGTCTTCCAGCGGCCGGAGGGGTCCCCGTGCACAGCTGGAGGCGGGACCACAGGGAACCGTCCTGGTGTGGTCTGGGACGGCAGGCGGCAAGCAGGGTGCTTTCAGGGGTGGTTAGCTCAGCCACTTCCCCGGGATTCCTCCATGAGCCGCCGCGTCCTGGCCCTGGGTGGCCTTCTGCGTGCTGTCCCGGCCGCCCCCATGCTCCCGAGTGGAGCCTCGGCTCTATCAGGCCCACCCAGGCACCCGCCCGAAGGGAAGGACGGGCGGGGTACGGCAGACGCAGAGAGGGCCGCCCAGGCTTCTCTCCCCGTCCACCCCGTTTGGGTCTGGTTGGCCCAGTCGGGGACGCGGGACGTAGGGGGTGGCTTCAGGGTCACCATGCCTGGCTTATCCCAGCTCAGCCCTGTGCTGGGGATTTTCTGGCGAGGAAGACAGGACTGACGGTGGGCAGCACCCAGCAGGGTCACCCCAGGGGGAAGGGCCTTCTCTGGGGCTCAGGAGTGATGGGGAAGCTGTCTGGGCTGCTGCGGAGCAGGGGTGCCTTGTACTTCCCTGGAGGCCGCCAGCCCCTCAGGAGCTATAGGTCGTGGGCCTGAGGCTCGTTCAGGCCACGCGTTGGGTGGTGGGGCCTCGAGGGGCGGACCAGGAGGCGGGCTTGGGCTCCAGCCCATGGTGTCTGCAGGACGTTCCAGCTCTCTGTCCCCACAAGTTTGAGCGTCCCCGCCCCACCTCTCACACGCCTGCACCCTCGCCCCCAGCCCCTGTGTGTGTGTGTGTGTGTGTGTGTGTGTGTGTGTGTGTACGTGTGTGTGTGTGTGTGTGTGTGTGTATGCCGAGTGTTGAGGTAAAAGTCTCGGATCAGTCCTACTGCTAGCGGCACCCAGGCTGTTCGTTTCCCCGCTGCTCTATTTCAGGCGGGATGCCGCCATCCTCTCCACGCCGAGCTGGCCCCTGCTGCCGGGCCGTGACCCAGTTTGAAGCCCCCTGCTCCCAGGGCAGGCGGCCGGTCACCCGGGAGGTGCTTGTCAGGCAGCTCCGCACACACGAGAGAAAGGAGCCAGGGGGTCGCGTTGCCTTTCCCTGGGGTGCACTTGCCCCAACCATCTGTGAAACCGCAGGAATTTCTGTTTCCCCCGTGTTGGGATGTTTTGGGGAATGGTGTGCAGGCTTAGCTGGTGCCGTTGTCAACAGAGGCTGGTGTTTTAGAAGCACTTCTGCGTGTCCCGGGCTTGTCCGGCCACCGGCCGTCCTGGGAGGCTGGGATGCCAGAAACAGTGCTGGGCGGGGAGGCTGGGCCACCTCCAGGCAATTTGATGGTTCCCAGGAGTGCCCAGGAGAAGGGCGCCTCCTGATGGCCCCAAACTGGCCGTCCAGGGTGGAGTTGGCCAGAGGTGTGGGGCTAGGCAGTGGCAGGGGGGGAAGAGCCGTCCAGGCCTATCTGAGCTTTAGCTACAGAGTAATCCAGAAAAATGGGTATGTGAATAGAAAAGACCTCGTGATTCTGAGGAGGGCGCCCTCCCAACAGGAAAGATGTCAGCTGGCATCCAGAAGTCACCTGCCGGAGGATGGCTTCTGACCTCCCTCTGCCGCGCCCTGGAGTCATTCCATAGAGCTGCCCTCAAATGCTGCTTCTGAGCCCAGCATGATGGCAGCCCTGGACTCCCCGCAGACCCACACATAAAAAGCCATATGCCCCAGGCCATGCTGATGACACACACCTTAGTGGGAAGGTGCCCCCATGAGCCCCCAAATACGGTTGGGTGGGGACAAACCAACTGCCCCAGGCCTGTGTGCTGGTAGCATTGTGCTGGAGGGAAGAAAGGGAGGAAGAGCCCCAAATAGCCCTCGGGTTCACTGGAAGGCTTGGGGGTCCCACTGAGGCCAGCACCTGAGATTGGAGGTGTTCTGTCCAGACTGGGAGCAGGGAGCTCCGGGCCGCAGGAAGGTCTGAGGGGCTGGAGTGGCCTGGGGCCCACGCATGGGCTCTGGTGCCCACCAGGCCGAATGCCCTGCCAGGGCAGGACCCACGCAGGGTGGAGCCTTCCAGGAGGGGACCCAAAACTGAGTGGGAACTGTTCTTGACCACAGATGAAAACAGGGGTGGCCGCAGAGCCAGGAATCCTGGGAGAGCGTGTCACAGACTCTCAGCCATGATGCGAGGACGTTAGAAGCCAAAACACTACCCGGAACCTTGCCCCCACCCCGCCCCCACCCCGAAAAGCTATTAGAATAAAAGGGAACACGGGCAGATAGCACCTCCCCAGATAGGGTCAGAGGGCAAAGTCAGAACACTCAGAAGCAGGGGTGCACAGCCCAGCAGTGAGTTTGCAATATGAGAGATTTCACAGTGATGCCTGAAAGAGAAAAGTCAGGGCAGAATAAAAACAACGCATTCCCCAAGAAAAATTGGAGGTAAAAAGGAGGGACGTTTTATTTTATTATTTTATTACTGTTACTAAAATTTCTTAAATTGTATTTAAATCCAAGTTAGCGAACATAATAGTGTAATAGTGATTTCAGGAGTAGAATTTAGTGTGATTCAGCACTTACATGTGATAACCAGCAAGAAAGGACATTTTACGATAAAAAAGGGGGGCGCCTGGGTGGCTCAGTCGTTAAGCGTCTGACTTCAACTCAGGTCATGATCTCATCGTTTGTGAGTTCGAGCCCCACGTCGGGCTCTGTGCTGACAGCTCGGAGCCTGGAGCCTGCTTCGGATTCTGTGTCTCCCTCTCTCTGCCCCTACCCCACTCATGCTCTGTCTCTCTCTGTCTCTCTCAAGAGTAAATAAAACATTAAAAAAATACCTTTTTTAAATAAAAGAGAAATGAAGAAAGATTAAAACGGACTAAAAACTGAAGCTAGCCAGAACCCCAGTGATTGGAGGGGGCAGTCCTGCAGAAACCCAAAGCAAAGACAGGGAGTAAATAGGGAACCTTCCTGGAATGCAAAACTTAGGTGTTGAAAGAGCAAATCACAGATCTGAGAGTGTCGTGTCAGGACAGCAGGCCCTGTTCTGTTCGGGTCACTGGCTGCTACGGAAAGCAGCAAACCTCGGGGCCTGTGGGCAGAGGGCGGGTGCTGGCAGTGTGTCAGCAGCCCTTTGTGCCCAAGAAAGTGGAGCCGTGTGTAGGATTCCCGGGGAAGGCAGAGGGAGCCAAGGGTCTTCTCAAAACTGACGGGGGCGCCTGGGGGGCTCAGTTGGTTAAACATCTGACTTCGGCTCAGGTCATGATCTCGGGGTTCCTGAGTTGGAGCCCCTGCATCAGGCTCTGTGCTAACAGCTCAGAGCCTGGAGCCTGCTTTGGGTTCTGTGTCTCCCTCTTTGCCCCTCTCCCATTCACACACTCACTCAAAAATAAATAAACATTAAAAAACAAAAACCTGCCCCACGAGTTGGAGGCGCCTGGGTGGCTCTGTCCACCGCATTGTGGGCCCTCCTGAGGAGTCTTAGCAGGTGAGGCTCGGACAGACACTGGCGAGGACAGACAGGCAGTGAGCCCGCTGGGCTTCATGAGACCCTGGGAGGTAGGGTAGGTCGGGACCGCACACGTGGCTGGCAGAGGACCGGCTGTGAACAGGAGTTGCGCACCCAAAGCCACTCTTCGTTTGTGTTTTCAGGAATCGTAATTGGCAATGGTGGGATCTCTCTCCGATTCTGGGCCTGGCGTCCAGGTCTCTGGCCCGCACTGAGGCAGCTACTTGCTCCTCGGTGGTTATCTCGAAACTAACAAACTAACGTGGGGTCAGCAAGTAAGTAACTCTGGGGCATTCAGATTCTCTCCTCCCCTTTGAAGAGGGGAGATGCAGAGATCACAGAGAAGACTCTAGAAAAACCTGTAGGTCCGGATTTGTCTGGGAAGTGTCAGTGTGAACTCAGAGGAATTTTATTGTAAGGAAAGAAAACAAACAGTGATCCTCTCCTGATTTCGGTCTTGAAGTATTTTCCGCCAAAAGAGCCCAGGGCCTCCTGGAGAAACAGCGCGTTTCACGTCCGGGTGGGACACGTAGATGAGCCTGGAACGTCTCAGGCTGGGTAGCAGGGAAGCTGCCGGAAGACCACCTGGGCCCCGTCCGGGGGGTGTGGAGCCCCCTCAACTTGCTGTGGATGGGACACTGGGAGGTCCGCTAGCTGTGATGATGGCAGTGGAGTGAGACCCACCGTATACGTTTACATCCAGGAGTTCATGGCGACGTTGAGAAAGGGAGCTCTGTTCTGCACACTCAGTGAGTCGGGCCACCTGAGTGTTGAGCGCCGGTGGCTGCTGACCGCGCAGACAGGCACTGTGGACGCCGATGGCACGGACAGACAGGCATGGCGGACAGACATCGTGTACCTTTGAGGCGGGGGCAGGGTCTTCAGACAGCAGGTCTGGGGACGGAGTCACCTGCTGAACCGCATGCAGCCCGCGCTCTTGAACAGCAAGGCTGTGAGCAAAAGCAAGACACAGGAGAGTCTGGATTGAAAGAGACTCTCAGACACTCTGAACTGAAAAGTAACGGACCACAGGGACGCCTGGGTGGCTCAGTCGGTTGAGTGTCCGACTTCAGCTCAGGTCATGATGTCGCCATCTGTGAGTTCAAGCCCCGTGTGGGGCTCTGCTGACAGCTCAGAGCCTGGAGCCTGCTTCCGATTCTGTGTCTCCCTCTCTCTCTCTGCCCCTCCCCTGCTCATGATCTCTCTCTCTCTCTGTCTCTCTCTCTCTCTCTCAAAAATAAGTAAACATTAAAAAAAAATTTAAAAAAAAGTAACGGAACAGGGCCACACTGCAGCTTCCAGGGATGCACGTGGGCAACAGAGCCACCGAGAAATGCAGGGGCACATGGTGGGAGGGGTGAGTGCGGGAGGGGCTTCCCTGTGGGTGGCCAGGCCCTGTGTCTTGCTTGACCTGGGCACTTGTCTGTCTGTATTTCTGTGTTCAGCTCCGCAGTCCATTCTGGGGTCCTCGGAGTCCCTGGCTGTGTGTTTTACAACAGCAGGGCTAACGTCGTTGAATTAAACTACCAGCTTCAGCCCCAGAGGGTGGTCCGCTTGAGGCCCTGAGCTGGGCCAGGTCGAGACAACGTTTGCTGTGAGTGCTGGTGCCAGGAGACCCCTCTCCTCCCCTCCCCTCCCTTCCCCTCCCCTCCCCTGAAGGGCAGCTACTTCTGCTATTTTTGTGGAGTGAGCTCTTTCTACTGGTCACTACACTTCTCTCTTTCCAGCAGTTCCTTGAATCCTCTCAGAGAAAAGTCCCTAGTGAGGAGGGGGGTCAGAGGGCGGCTGCTCACTTCCCGCCTGACCCCCAGGCTGGCCCTTCACCACCACCTCCGAGCCCAGAGCCAGCCTGTTCTTGGAAAGCAAACACCAGCATCCAGAGGTCCTCAGAGGGCCAGGAACCCGCAGGTTGGAAAAGAACCTGCCTCCCAGAGTGATGAAAACCCTCCCCCCTTAGCAATTTCTTTAACACCTGCTTGAAAAGGCAGTGGTGTGTGTGGGCAGCTGGACACAGGCAGAAAATTCACTCAGCCTGAGCTGAGGCATGTGACAAAACCCAGCCGCCCCATCAGCTGGAGGCCACAGCCCATCCTCCTGGATCTCGTCCCACTCTGGCCCAGGTGCCCAGGTCTCTGGCCCGCACTCATGCGACCACACTGCTCTGGGGTGAGGACGAGCCCTTGACCTGGGGACCAGCGTTTCACAAGCCTCAGTTGTACTCAGAATGTGCGTGGTGGCTGTGTAAACACCCTTGGTAGCTGAAGATTTAGTGAACACAGCGTACTGTTAAACGTTCTCCACAACTTAAAAAGCAAAACGTCTTTTTTTAAAGTTTATTTATTTTGAGAGAGAGAGAGAGAGAGAGAGCGCACCTGTGCACTCATGAGCAGGGGAGGGGCAGAGAGAGGGAGTCCCAAGCAGGTTCCCCACTGTCAGCACAGAGCCCGATGTGCGGCTCCGTCTCATAAACCATGAGATTGTGACCTGAGCCGAAATCAAGAGTCAAACACTTAACCGACTGAGCCACCCAGGTGCCCCTCGCACGTCCGATTTTGTTCTGTCTTTCTTTCCCTCCCTCTCTCTCTCCCTTCCTCCCCCTCCCTCCCTCCCTCCCTCCCTCTCTCTGTCTCTGTCCCTGTGTCTCTGTGTGTCTCCACCAGACGTGCTAGTAACTCCATTTGTTGGTTGATGTTGACACCAAAACGGGCTCCACCCCGTTCTTCGGAAGCCCCACCCCTCCTGACTTCCTACCTGCACTTTTTTGCTCCAGATGATTCCGTATCCGGTACAGGCCAGATCCCAGGCTCCCTGCCGTGGAGTGGTGGGTCTTCAGAGCCAGGGTCACGCGGTGCTGGGCCCCCTGCCCTAGAGCTGCTGAAACGGCAGGCCAGGGGCAGCTGAGCGAGACCCTACCTTCCCTGCTGGTTCTGATGCCACTGTGGGGGGGGGGGGGGGGGGAGGCCCTGGGAGGAGCACTACCTTAGTGTGTGGTGCAGGGGCGCGGGGCGGCTCTGCCTCTTCCAGGTTTTGATTGGTCTGCGTGGTGCCTCGGGTTCTGTGCTGTAAAGACCCGATTCATAGCGCCCTGCTCACAGGACCTAATCTCACTGAGGCTGGTTAAGTACCGAGCGCCAGCCTCTGTGCGTCCTCCTGCTGCTTTGTGTGTTTGCCAGTGTTCCCACGGGTTGGTGTGTGAGCCTGTGGGCCCGGCCCGTGCCCGGTTGTTGGATGCAGGACCGGTCTGCCCTGGGCTGGAGCATGTGGTCCGGTGAGGGAAGGAGCGGGGAGAGCAGTGTTTGAAGGGAGCCCGTGGGCGCACCCGTGGAGGTCGTGCTGATCCGGGCGGCACATGCGGGGTCCCGGGCTGAGGCCCTGCTGGCCGGGGAGAGCAACAGTCCTGGTCGCAGGTGCACAGGGGCCTTCTCTGAGCTGAGCCGGTTGTGGGGGCGGGGGGGGGGGCGCAGCTCCCTTAGTGGGAGATGACTCAGGGCCCCGCACTTCTTTATTGTTTGTCTGTGCGGGGCAGACAGGGACCAGTGTGAGGGCTCTGGAACCGAGGCTCTGGTATGTGGGGTCACACTCCAGGGTAGCGGGACTCCCGTGCTGGCCTGTGGTCCCTGTGATACCATTAACCAGACCAGTTCCTCCTTCCTGTTTCCTCACCCGCACCGGGACAGTCTTCCTAGAGCCCAGGTGTAACACCCTCTCCCCCAGGCCTGCCTTTGCTTCTGGGCTGCGGTCCGAGCGCCCTCACTCTGGGGCCTCCCTGCCCCAGCCTGGTGCTTGGGGTTTCAGGGTCATTTCCTGGACTTCCACTCCTGTTCCTTCATGTTGACGCTGTTTGTTTCCAGACATTTCTGGAGTCCCTGCCGTGTCCCAGGCATTGTTCTGGGTGTGGGGGAAGCAGCTGGGAGGGAAGTCTTGAGTGTTCAGTAAAGCCATGAGTGTTCAGTAAAATGCTAGGG